GCCTGTCATTACACCCAGTTGTCAGTCTTCCCTCAGGCCAGCCTCCTACCTGAACAGCCCCTTTGGAAATCCCCTGATCTCCAATTCCCCATTGGCCCATGTGACCCACTCTGCTCCCTTTGTTTCCCCCATTGTATTGTTGAATGGAACCTTCCACTCCACCCATAGCTTCTTCCTATTGGTTAAAATTTTGTACCCTCCCTCTGGACTCCCCTATATAAAAACCCACACACAGTTGTGTTTTTGGTCTTCAGTCCCTGGACCCTCCAGTGGAGTAGAAGCCTTTGGAACCCGTACTGGAGATCTCCTCCTCATCCTTGCCTTCACCATGTGCCTACCAATATCCTTGTGGTGTAGAGCATTTGCTCTGAGCCGCACCTTGGGTCACCCCACTCCCGAGTGTCACAATCCCCTAACACAAGTGAGCGTCATGAGAGGTTTGTTTGACCTCAGAGTGCAAAAAGGACACCAAGGGATTTCAGTTTAAATCACAACAGCAATAATGCACCTTTATTTTAGTGCCAGCAACATGGGTTATGTGATAGATCAGAGGAGGGGAGAGAGAGAGAGAGGGAGAGAGGGGCAAAGAGGCAATGTAAAGAGAGAAAAGAGGGGGTTATAGCTACCAATGGATGAGACGGGGTCGCTGGTGTCTTCCTTGGTGGGGAGATCTCTCTTGAAGAAAGTATCTTAGAAAAGTCACTTTTATAGTCTGTTTCAAAGCAAGGGGCAGCTGGCCAAGAGGTGGGGAAATTCCTCAGCTATTCTGATGGGACCCCTTGCTCTGGGAAGCAGGTGTAAGGTACAGAACAGGCCACTCCTTACAAGTCCCTGCTCAGCAGCAGGAATGAAGGCAGTGTACCTTGCCAGCACAACAAGCACACCTGCAAACAATCACCTGGCAAGCTTCCACTTCAGCCAGGCCAGAACCCCTGCACAAAGTCCCTTGGGGTCTTCAGGGTCTTGGTCTCTGTTCTTGCAATGGCTGAGGCAGGTGAGGGAAACTTCGGACCATCTCTTTACACCCTAGTAACCCCAAATGACTCAAATGAACCCACACCTGACCCCACAGGGCACGGACATTTACCCCCTGCTGAGCTCGGTCCTAAACAGCCCCAAATCCTTCAAAAACCCCCAATAGTTCAAACCTGGGAGCTTCCTGGACGAGCAGGGTCGGTTCCAGCACAAGGAGGCCTTTGTGCCCTTCTTGGCTGGTGGGCACCCCAAAACCATGAAAAATCCCATAAATCCTTGGGGTGGGGCCCTAAATCCTTCTGGAATCCCAAAAATCCCCAAATTCCTTTGGGGTGGGGCCCTAAATTCTTTTGGAATCCCAAAAATCCCATAAATACTTTGTGGAGGGGCCCTACATCCTTTTGGAATCCCCTAAATCCCATAAATCCTCAGGGTGGGTACTCCAGACCCATTTGGGACCCCCACCCCTGAAACCCCCAGACCATTTTGGGACCCCAGTCCCAAAGCTCCCAGACCCTTTAGGGACCCCCCAGACTCTGAAGCTCCCAGACCCTTTAGAATCCCCTAGGCCCTTTTGGGATCCCCAACCCCTGAAACCCCCAGCCCCTTTTGGGACCCCCAGACCCTTTAGACACCCCCACCCCTTTTA